CTTGTCCCAACCACTTGGAGTAAAGGAGAACGAAGAACACCAAAGACACAAGGAAAGTATTAGCCCAAGAGACAGAATGGCCACATAAACCAGAGACTTCATCAGCCTGAGATCAGAAGAACTAGATGGTGCCCGGCTACTACCAATGAACATACTGACAGGGAACACAACAGAGAGTCCCTGATGAAGCAGCAGCAGGATGGGGTGCAGAACTCAAATTCTAGTAAGAAGACCAGACTTAACGGTCTGAGACTGGAGGTACCCCAGAAAGCATGGCCCCTGGACTCTCTATCAGCCCAGAACTAAAACAATTCTGAGGCCAACTCCTCAGACAGGGATTGGACTGGACTGTGGGACATGAAGTGATACTCATGAAGAGCGTGCCTCTTAGTCAAGTAGATACAAGAGACCAAAGGGGCAGCTTCTGTCCAGAGGTGAGATGGGAAGGCAGAGAGAGTTAGGAGCTGGTTGAACGGTCATGGGAAATCAGGGGCGGAAAGGAGGAGTGTGCTGTCACAGAATGGGGTGAGCAATTAGGGTCACCTAACAATGTATGTATAAAAATTTTGTATGGGAGACTAACCTGAAATGTAAACTTCTTTTAACTACAACATTAAAAAAAAAAAAAAGAAAAAAAAAATTTGTTCCAAAAAAAAAAACCACAATGAGATAGCATTTCACCCCAGCATTACTGGCACAATAACACTGGAAATAACAAATGCTGGAGAGGCTGTGGTGAGAGAGGAACTCTTATGCACTTCTGGTGGGAATGCAAAATGATACAACCATTTTGGAAAAAGATATGCCACTTCCTTAGAAAGCTAGAAATAGAAATACCATACAATCCAGCAATCCCATTCCTAGGAATATATCCTAGAGAAATAACAGCCATCACACAAATAGACACATGCACACCCGTGTTCATGGCAGCATTGTTCACAATAGCAAAAAGATGGAAACAACCTGATGCCCATCAACAGATGAATGGATCAACTATGGTACATACACACAATGGAATATTATGCAAACATAAAGAACAATGATGAATTTGTGAAGCATCTCATAACATGGATGAAACTGGACATTATGCTCAGTGAAATAAGTCAATCACAAAAGGACAAATATTGTATGAAACCTCTATTGTAAAAACTCATGAAAAAGTTTACATACAAAAAGTAACAATCTTAGTTAGTTATGAGGGATGGGAGGGGTGGGGGGGAAGTACTAAATAGACAATAGGTAAGTGCTACCTTTGGTGAAGGGTGAGACAGTACACAATACTGGGGAAGCCAGCACAACTTGTACAAGGAAAGGTCATGGAAGCTCCATAGACACATCCAAACTCCCTGAGGGTCTGAATTGCTGGGCGGAGGGCTGTGGGGACCATGGTCTCGGGGAACATCTAGCTCAACTGGCATAACACAGTTTATAAAGACAATGCTCTACATTTTATCTTGGTGAGTAGTGTCTGGGGTCTTAAAAGCCTGTAAGCAGCCATCTAAGATACTCCACTGGTCTCACCCCTATGGGAGCAAGTGAGAATGAGGAGACCAGGATACAAGGAAAAGATCACTCTAAAGGACTAATGGACCACAGCTACCAAGGCTCCACCAGACTGAGACCAGTACAGCTACACGGTGCCTGGCTAACACCACTCACTGCTTTGACCGGGAACACAATAGAGGGTTCTGGGCAGAGCTGGAGAAGCACGTAGAACAAAATTCTAACACACTCAAAAAAGATCAGATTTACTGCCCTGAGACTGGAAAAACCCCAAAGAGTATGGCCCCCAGACACCCTTTTAGCTCAGTGGTGAAGTCACTTACGAGGATCACCATTCAGCCGGGAACTGGACAGCCCCATAAAACAAAATGGGACTAATGAGGCACAGCAGTCCAGGGACAAGGACTGGAAGGTAGAACGGGACAGGAAAGCTAGTGATAGGAACCCAAGGTTGAGTAAGGACAGTGTTGACATGTAGTGGGGTTGTTAACCATTGTCATAGGGCAACACGTTCACTGTTTAATGAGAAACTATTTTGTTCTGTAAACCTTCATCTAAAGTGAGAATAGCAGCAGAACTAGAAGAACATAAGTGATGTCACTGAACTGTGCATGCAGAAATTTTTGAAATGGTGTATCTTTTGCTGTGTATATTTTCACCCAAAAAAAAAATGTCAAGAAGGGAACAGGGTCGACATGTCGTGGGGTTGTTAACCAATGTCATAAAACAAATATGTGTACTGTTTAATGAGAAACTATTTGTTTTGTAAACCTTCACCTAAAGTACAATTAAAAAAAAAGAATTTCACTTTACCTCCCCCTCCAAAAAAAAAAAAAATCAAAACATTAAAGTGGTGAGAAACTATTTGTTTTGTAAACCTTCACCTAAAGTACAATTAAAAAAAAAGAATGTCACTTTACCTCCCCCCCCAAAAAAAAAAAATCAAAACATTAAAGTGGTAAACAAAGATTCAGCCTCTTTTAGCAAAAAAATATGAATTGCCTTTGGCATTTCTATCACAACTCTCCTTTTCAAACATACTACCCGAGTGGTACAAATGGTTAATATGCTTGGCTACTAACTAAAAGCCTGAAGGTTTGTGTCCACTCAGAGGTACATCAGCAGAAAACCATGGCAATCCACTTCTAAAAAATCATCCACTGAAAACTCTACGGAGCACTGTTCTACTCAGACACATACAGGGTCAGCATGAGTCAGAGTCAACTCAATAGCAACTGTTCTCTGGCAATTTTTTTTTTTTTTTTTTTTTGATGAAACCACATACTTATATCCTGGCAACCACTCCATAAAGACCCGTCACAGCAGACACTGTAATTAAGAAATAACTGTTGTAACTACATTAAGGACGAGTCTCGTCTCAACCTCACCGCTCCCCCAGTGCTCACCATGCACATGGTAGGACTGATGATGGATCTGCTGAATGAACACTTATGAGATGTCCTCCAGCATACCAGCACTCGCGGGGGGTGCAGCTTTTTCAAAGGCAGACATTACAAAGGAGAGAGTAATAGATTTGACCGCACAATTTAAACTAAGTTAAAAATTTAACAAGCAAGTGGGGGAAATTGAGCATGCACAGAGCTGGTATACTTAACACATACAGGAATTTGAAAATCAGTTAAGAGTAGTATAAACACTTCTACAGAAGAGTTAATAAAGTATATAGGCAACCACTATGGATATTCAAGTGGCCAAAAAAACATTTTAAAATGTGTAACACTATTACATTAAGACACTATTTTTCACCTATCAAAATGGCCAACATAAAAAACTGAATGGTAAGACCCAGTTTCAGTGATGGAGCAGGAAAAAGGACACTCTCATGTACTGTCGGCAGGCATTGTAAATTGGTACAATCTATCAAGAGAACATTTTCATTAGTGTACATCAAACTCTTGTAAATTTTCAAATTGATCAATAATTACATTTCTAAAATTTATTATGAGGAAGTAATCAAGAATGTTCACCTAAGATTGTGTAACAGAAAAAAAAAACCAAAAGGAAACAGCCAAAATAATCACCAGTAGGGAACTGCTCTAGAATATTATGGTTCATCGATTAAATGGAACACTACACAATTATTTTAAAAAGCCACAGGAATACTTTTACAGGCATGGGGAAGGGATGGTATATAAAGTTAACTGAAAAGAACAAAACCACATATAGTACCACATTTTTCTAAAAAAGTTCATGTTTGTACTAATAAATGTATAGATTACACACGCATAGAAAAATATCTAGTGTAGTACAGACTAAAATGTTAACACGTTATCTTGAATTGAGGACAATCAGATACAATTCTTATTTTCTTCTTTCTGATGTTTCTTTTAACCTATCAAATTAGACACTTCCAACATTGCTAGTGAGAATACAAAGCAGAAAAACTTTTCTAAAAAAAGTTTAAGGGGACCTCATACCATCAAGAAAGCAGTGCTGGGAGCAGAGCACGTCCTTTGGACGGGGGTCCCTGCACAGAGAACCTCCTACTCCAGGGGAACACTGAAGGGAAGAAGGCCAACAGAAAGAAAAAGCCTTCCCCTGGAGCTGACGCCCTGAATTTGGACTTTTAGCCTACTTTCACTGTGAGGAAATAAATTTCTCTCCGTTAAAACCGTCCACTTCCAGTGACAAGGGCCAGAAGGCAGAAGGGGACAAGGAAGCTGGTGATAGGGAACCCAAGGTTAAGTAAGGATATTGTTGATGTGTTGTGAGATTGTTAACCATTGTCATAGGGCAACATT